TTTTTCAACAAAACTTGGTAGATATATGAAACAGAACCTTGAGTGGTGCCTTTTGCTATTTGCAGATTTTTGTCATTTTTATTTTTCTTGGTTTCCATGGAAACATTTTGGACTTAGTCTCAAAAAGTAAGGATTGCTTTCGTTTCCGGAGCATAACTCAAGAACCGTATAATATTTTTCAACAAAACTTGGTAGATATATCAAACAGATCCTAAAGTTGTTCCTTTTGCTATTTGCAGATTTTTGGCATTTTTATTTTTCCCGGTTTCCTTGGAAACGATATGGACTTAGTCCCAAAAGTGAGGGGTGGGCTTTGTTTCCGGAGCACAACTCGAAAACTTCTCAATGTCTTTCAGCAAAACTTGGCAGATATGTGAGGCAGATCCCAAAGTGGTGCCTTTTGCTATTTGCAGATATTTGTGATTTATTAATTTTTTGTGTGATTTTTAGCATTTTTACTTTTCAAGAACCGAAGTTTAGGTTTCCATGGAAACTTAAGTAGTGCCTTTGATTCGGACTTAGGCCTTAGGCCCAAAAGTGAGGGGTGGGCTTCGTTTCCGGAGCATAACTCAAGAACCGTTCAATATTTTTCAACAAAACTTGGTAGATATATGAAACAGAACCTTGAGTGGTGCCTTTTGCTATTTGCAGATTTTTGTCATTTTTATTTTTCCCGGTTTCCATGGAAACATTTTGGACTTAGTCTCAAAAAGTAAGGATTGCTTTCGTTTCCGGAGCATAACTCAAGAACCGTTCAATATTTTTCAACAAAACTTGGTAGATATATCAAACAGATCCTAAAGTTGTTCCTTTTGCTATTTGCAAATTTTTGGCATTTTTAATTTTCCCGGTTTCCATGGAAACGATATGGACTTAGTCCCAAAAGTGAACAATACAGTGGAGTCATGAAGATAAACATCAACGTTGCCGTATTTATGTACGACTGGGATCAATCCCCTTAACAAGCCTTGATGGGATGGGTTCATGTTAATGTAAGTAGATTTGAGGAACTATATCTCTTCAGTGTTCATTTACACGCAAATCTAAACTTTATCGGTCTTAAGTACATCAATCAAAGGTTGACGGAAAACCAATTAAATATTATTTTCTAAACTTTTATAGGATGGGATAATATCCGGCCATGGATGAAGTGGTCAAAACACTTGAAAGCGTGGATGGATTTCGTTTGCAACAAATTAGCGAGATCAAACGTCAACATGAACAAGAACGTGATGTTCGAATAGGATTGCATAAAATGTGTCATAGCGCAGTGAATGCCATCGATGGCATAGACACCACACTCGTAGCAACCAGCATGGGACTTGGTGCTGCCGGCGTCGGTTTACTGTCAACCATCGTAGCTCCACCCGTCGTTCTCTGGTTAGAAATAGCAGCCGGGGTATCGGGGTTATTGGGAATAGCTCTTAAATTCATGTCACATCGGTTGAAGCATGACAAAATTAGGGTTCTAGCCAAAGCCAAGCTGAACACAATCGAGGATCACATATCAACAGTGCTCACCAATAGCAAGATCATGGGGAAGAGTTCCGTCTGGTGTTAGCAGAACTCGCAGAATACCACAGAATGAAACAAGAGATTCGAACTAAGGTCCGCAAAACGAATGACATCGACGAACAAGAGAAAAAAAAGCTCATAGAACAGGGCAGACAACAAGCCTGGCAAGCATTCCTTTCCAAAACCAAAGAAATCATAGAAAATTTATGCTAAAATGTTAATTTTGATCCATAAAAAAATCTGTTGGCTTTATGGTATTCGGTAAAACCGTTAAAGTGGTCGGATACGAAGTTATGGTTTTTCCTTCTTTCAGGAAAGTTTGGGCTGGTTCTACGCTAACTCTAAAACTGATGTAGTGACCAGTTGCTAAAAAGCTAATTTGCATTTGTGTTTCTGCATAGTTAAGAGTTCTCTTTTAACGCAAGCTCAAGTTTTTGGCTTGCCCAAACAACGTTCCGTTTTCGAGCACGACTCTGCTGGATCTTTGTCCTTTCCACTTACTCCAATCTATAATGTTTGCCGTTCTTTCTGCTAAGACCGATATTTTTTTCAGTACGCCTCCTCTGCAGAAAATAATCCGCTCTTCCAAGCTTATCCATCACTAAATCTCAATTTCTCTTATTCGTTAATTTTCGTTATACTTCTAACAATATCCTAGCTCTAATACATTTTTCACTTATAATTTTACAGCGGCAATAAATAGTAAAAATATGACTTATAGGGATCTGGGGCCATATTTAAAAAAATTCTAAGAAAATTCTTAGTTTTGCTCTAAGATTACCAAAACAAAATCTTAGCTAAAAGTAACTCGTAAGAATTATTCACAAAGGGTCTGAGGGTAACTTTTAACTAAGAATGGGAGTTTGATCTTAAGAAAATACTTAACGCTGTTGCCAAGGGAAATCTGGGAATTCCCCGAGGTTATAAATAGCTTACGTTATGTCGATGGCGGTGCTTGCGCTGACATATAAGAAGAGTTGAATGGCAGACTGAACCGAGTTTAGTTTGTTTACGTTCGGTTACCGGAACAGGAGCTTCCTGACTAAAACATCGATTGAAAAGGTAGGTAAATCGAGTTATGTTATCCCCAAAATATGTTTTTTAAATAAATCTATATTTGCAAGTTGTCTCATGCAAACTTAGCAGATGACAATCTTTGGTTTGTTCGTGACGAGCACAAAATGAATGCGAAAAAGGGGAACAGGAAACTGGACAAGCAACGAATGTCTGTCTCTTGTTCAGTTAGTGGAATCAAAGAAATAAATAAAATAACATCAGAGGAAAAGAAGATGACGTGGATGTCAATCACCGAATCAATCAATGCATCCCATCCTCTTGTGATTCGATCCAATGAAGAAGTGGAGAAAAATGGTACAATCTACTTTCAAAATCAAGGCAGGAAATTGCAGCATACAGGCGAGGAACAACAGCAACAGGTGGGATTTAAAATATGGCATGACGCATTCTTTTATTTACATGTATGACAATACAGTACATAGGCCTATCATTTTTGAGTAATCAATTTTTTCTAGTAAGTTAATAAGGAAATAAACATGAAATATTATTTTGATCAATACTGTATAAAAAGCAATTACTTACATAAATAACACAACAAAAATTCTCATATTGTTTTATTAAGTTGAAACTTAATGTTAAAAGAGCATAAGTAACAATCATATTTAAAATACTTTCTATACATTACTCATGGAATAGCTTTATAAATAGTATTTTGTCTTGATCTTTAAATGTAACACAGTGTAATTTGTTTTTAAAACACATCAATACCAACAAAAACAATACTTTTTCCCATGCACAATCGAGGATCACATATCAACAGTGCTCACCAATAGCAAGATCATGGAGGAAGAGTTCCGTCTGGTGTTAGCAGAACTCGCAGAATACCACAGAATGAAACAAGAGATTCGAACTAAGGTCCCATAAAACGAATGACATCGACGAACAAGAGAAAAAAAAGCTCATAGAACAGGGCAGACAACAAGCCTGGCAAGCATTCCTTTCCAAAACCAAAGAAATCATAGAAAATTCATGCTAAAATGTTAATTTTGATCCATAAAAAAATCTGTTGGCTTTATGGTATTCGGTAAAACCGTTAAAGTGGTCGGATACCAAGTTATGGTTTTTCCTTCTTTCAGGAAAGTTTGGGCTGGTTCTACGCTAACTCTAAAACTGATGTAGTGACCAGTTGCTAAAAAGCTAATTTGCATTTGTGTTTCTGCATAGTTAAGAGTTCTCTTTTAACGCAAGCTCAAGTTTTTGGCTTGCCCAAACAACGTTCCGTTTTCGAGCACGACTCTGCTGGATCTTTGTCCTTTCCACTTACTCCAATCTATAATGTTTGCCGTTCTTTCTGCTAAGACCGATATTTTTTTCAGTACGCCTCCTTTGCAGAAAATAATCCGCTCTTCCAAGCTAATCCATCACTAAATCCTGGTATCTCAATTTCTCTTATTCGTTAATTTTCGTTATACTTCTAACAATATCCTAGCTCTAATACATTTTTCACTTATAATTTTACAGCAGCAATAAATAGTAAAAATATGACTTATAGGGATCTGGGGCCATATTTAAAAAAATTCTAAGAAAATTCTTAGTTTTGCTCTAAGATTACCAAAACAAAATCTTAGCTAAAAGTAACTCGTAAGAATTATTCACAAAGGGTCTAAGGGTAACTTTTAACTAAGAATGGGAGTTCGATCTTAAGAAAATACTTAGTGCTGTTGCCAAGGGAAATCCGGGAATTCCCCGAGGTTATAAATAGCTTACATTATGTCGATGGCGGTGCTTGCGCTGACATATAAGAAGAGTTGAATGGCAGACTGAACCGAGTTTAGTTTGTTTACGTTCGGTTACCGGAACAGGAGCTTCCTGACTAAAACATCGATTGAAAAGGTAGGTAAATCGAGTTATGTTATCCCCAAAATATGTTTTTTAAATAAATCTATATTTGCAAGTTGTCTCATGCAAACTTAGCAGATGACAATCTTTGGTTTGTTCGTGACGAGCACAAAATGAATGCGAAAAAGGGGAACAGGAAACTGGACAAGCAACGAATGTCTGTCTCTTGTTCAGTTAGTGGAATCAAAGAGATAAATAAAATAACATCAGAGGAAAAGAAGATGACGTGGATGTCAATCACCGAATCAATCAATGCATCCCATCCTCATGTGATTCGATCCAATGAAGAAGTGGAGAAAAAATGGTACAATCTACTTTCAAAATCAAGGCAGGAAATTGCAGCATACAGGCGAGGAACAACAGCAACAGGTGGGATTTAAAATATGGCATGACGCATTCTTTTATTTACATGTATGACAATAGAGTACATAGGCCTATCATTTTTGAGTAATCAATTTTTTCTAGTAAGTTAATAAGGAAATAAACATGAAATATTATTTTGATCAATACTATATAAAAAGCAATTACTTACATAAATAACACAACAAAAATTCTCATATTTTTTATTAAGTTGAAACTTAATGTTAAAAGAGCATAAGTAACAATCATATTTAAAATACTTTCTATACATTACTCATGGAATAGCTTTATAAATAGTATTTTGTCTTGATCTTTAAATGTAACGCAGTGTAATTTATTTTTGAAACACATCAATACCAACAAAAAACAATACTTTTTCCCATGGTCATACTTTTCACATTTTATTCGAAACAAGTATGTTTCTCAATTAGATCTAAGTAATAAAATACAATTATGATCAATATCATAATTTGTTCACCACACTGAATAGTGTGAAAGTGCTCTCGTAAAAGTGAACATCATAAAGATTTTTATATAATTCAACAATTTTTAATGATATCTGTATACTTGCCAGTAACATTTATAAATAGTCCATTACTTCATATATGCTCTAAGTACACATAGTGTTAAATCATTTTGAAGAAACAATTTCTCTGAGGAATAATATTTCTTTTTCATTTTTGGGTCAAATAACAGCCATATAAATTCTTGGTGAATCTAACGCATCTATAAGTGGATTAGACAATGGGATCGACACATCCATGTTGCAGTTTATTAATCTGAGGTATTTATATCATTAAAACAAATATTCCAAATTATGGAATAATAAGAATGTATCAAAGGTGATATCAAGCTTGATCTTTGGTTCATGTATTTAATATGTGCACCATATCATGACAAAATGAACAATATTACATACGTACATTACTCTTTACAGCACATTACCAAACAAATCCATGTACCTAACTGAATGTAATGAAATTATTTTATGAAAGGCTTAGTTGAAATGTTGAAATTATACAACCTTAAAGGCACACATTAGCACAGTAGTTTCCCCCAAAAGATTTGAGCTCTGCAAATGTTATTAGTGGTCCCTTCAAGGAAACTAAAAAATCAATTTTGTGTAAATATATAGACTTATTTTCATTATAGAATATAAATCAATGAGCTTGCTTGAAGTGGTGCAACTTTGAAATGAACTCCAAATTATCCAACAAGCCCACACTGTCAACACCATATAATGAAAAAGGGCACCACACCTCTGGATATCACAAATCATTGGCATTTCACTCATAATGATTCTTTAAACTGTCTCCTTAAGATTCTGATGACATTCAAGATTCTTGTACTTGTACAAGAAGATACAAGTTTGCTGATCACTTCAGTGTTAGTAATGTCTTGTTTCAGTCCATATGAGAGCGATGGTCTCGATGTGGATGTCCCAGTGTCGGTCCCAGCCACGGTCCCTGTACATGCCATGGTCCCTGATCCAGCTACGGGTACAGTCCCTGTTCCGGCCTCAGTCCAACTTCCAGTTCCCGTGACTGACAGGAAGAGGGAACTGGAATTAAAAGTGTTGGAGGCTCAGCTCGACTATTACCAACTCAAGATAAAGAAATTGAAAAGAGACTAAGGAACTGTGTTATATATAAAGATGTTTAATGTTGTTTCCACTATAATAAAGATGTTATCACAGTAAAAGATTCTTTATCTAATGATTATTATGATGTAATTTGGTCACGGAATTCTTAATACAAACATAAATATTACTCAAAGGTGTGGTCCTTAGCAAACTTTGGAAAGGATCAATTCCTAGTCTTCCCAGTGTCCGATTTATAAACATGAATTAAGAAACAATCAAAATTTAGTGAATATTATTATAAGATGGAGTACCATGTCTAGAAGTGAAGATTGACAAATTGTTGGCGATATCTGACACCGTCTGCTGGCGGCTTAACAACCTGAGGAGGTGGTCTCTGTCCATCTTGTCCAGGAGGTAGTGGGATTCTTTGTTTACAGATATTATGGAGCATGGCACACACAATCACAACCTGTAAAATATTCAATTGCAGCATGTGAAAGATAGAAATTATGGAAATCAAGGAAACCAATCGTGTTATTTTAATTGTTCAAGGAATACATGTCAGTATAATATTTATTTCTCACAAATTTTAACATATAACATTACATTTCTTATTACATTACATTATGAAAACACAAACATTACAATATATCATCAACAAACCTTTGATGCTTTTTGAGGTGTCAGCCTAATCTCTCCATGCAGGACATGAAATCTTCTCTTTAATTGTCCAATGCCTATCTCGACAACACTCCTTGTAATCTTGTGAGATCTAAAAAGAATTTTTAATGACATTTAATTGAAATGTTTTTACATTCCGAAACATATTTCAATGTATTGAATAAAATAATCAAATCCACTGAGTTACATGTATAATTCTATACTAATGATTAAGATGAATTTTTAATTATGTGACTAAATTGAGCTCAATCTCTAATATTTATAATTTCATACAGGAACTCCTTATTTCTTCAATTTCTCATCAATTTTGTTCAAATTTTAAGTATATGATCATCACAAGATATGAAAACCATATTTGATTGCAAAAGAAATTTTTCTTATAATTTACATGCAGTATAATATTTGAACTCGTGTGTTTTTGGAGATTTGCATCATTATTATATTGCATTCATTAATGTAGATGATCAACTGACAGTATAATATATTGATATTATATCTTTAAGACGTTTAATAATCTAATACAATAAGCATAGTTAAATCTTTAATCGCTAATCAGGTTTATGCAGAATTAAAAAGCTACAATTTCATTTCATTTAAAAAACACAATTTCAAATTATAGAATTTACCAATTTATAGAAGCTACTCTAATTCATACTGTGTCGGACAAGTATTGAAATGAATTGCCTGACAATTTGAGGGTCAGAAAGTACTGACAAAGTTTCGTATATTATTCTACTGACTGTGGGCTGACTTACACCAAAATCTTTGCCGCTACAAAGCTGCATTTTGCCAGTAGCTAACTAACGCAGAGTGATGGCAATCTTAGCCTCAGCGTCCAAGGAATTATTCCATTTTGTCGGACTTGTCAAGTGTTGCCGGACCAAATTGGTGATGAAAAGAATCCCCCTCAAGTCCATACGGTACCTCTTTATCAATTCTTCATTGTTGTACACTGCTAGTACATCTCTTCTTAACCTAAAATCTCTCAAGCGACACATATGAGCGGCCATGTTTGTCAAGCTAAGAAAATTCTTAACTAGTTAGGAGTACCATAGGGGGACTCCTAAATATGTGTCATACTTAGGAGTAATTCTAAGAGTAAAAAGTTTTATAAATGTCACTTAAGAAATTCTTAACACTTAAGTGTAAATATAATGGAATTCTAAGAATTTTATTGATTTAAGAATTCTTAACAATTCTAAGAAATTTTATACCCTATACTACTAACCCTGGTTTTGCAGGGCCTTGTCTAGACCACGCAGTTTCCGAATGCTATAATTCAGCTCCTGTGTTTCTAATACACTATCATGGATCGTGGACAATACATCGTCTAGTCCGTTCGAAGCTTCTTGAGCGCATTGCGATATGTCTCAAATCATCTGGATGTAATGCACTTGCCGTGGCACTGAGCTCGGTTTGCACTGTTTGTAAAGCCATGGTGACCTTCGCGGAAAGTTTGTGTCGTGTACTGCGGTAATCCACTAGTTTTAGTGTATCCCGGAGAAAGTCAACACCATGGAGTCAAGCCAGTGTGGACAAGGCGAGGGGTTTTCCCGTACAGCCATTTACGACAGTGGCATTCGGAGCAGCTGTCAGTCGCTGTCGGGGCACATGCCATTTTATCAAGCCGCGCTAGGTGACAGACTGGAATACGAACTCACGTTTAATGACTATGGTAAAGTCGTGTATGCGAGCGACTCGGACAGCAGCTATACCATCAACAACATTTCATTAGATATGGTCATGAATACTGAACTGGCTTGGCAAATTCGCAATCAGTATTTGGGAACATTATCCATCTTGTACAATCACGTACTATGTCATCGGATGATTGTCAGGGATAAAAGCGATACGTTGTGGAATATCAATCTGAATGTGCCCGCTTGGTCGATGAAGGGTATTCTGATCATTCCGGAAGAAAGAGAAAACGAAACATATTGGAACCCCGAGGGCGTACCCAATCAGCTTTTCAGCCTAAGCATGAGGGCTCACCAACAGTGGGAAGAAATCCGAAAACTGCCGGCGATCAAGTGTGTGCCAGAAATCTCTGACCCCATCGGTTAAAATCCATGATGCCTACTCTCAAAAATCAGCTCTGTTGTTTGGTGTGCCGCAAGAATCGGTTTTGAGAACCCTTTTTTCACAATTTACATCCTTCCTTGGAGACATAATTCAAAAACATTTTCTAGATTTCCATCTGTATGCAGATGACACTCAACTCTATGTCAGCTTCAAATCATCTGAACTTTCATGCAACATCTCAAAACTGGAACAGTGCATTCAGGAAATCAGAATGTGGATGGTATCTAACGTTCTCATGTTAAATGAAGACAAAACAGAATTTCTTCTCATTGGATCCAAACACCAGCTCAAAAAGCTAGAATCTGACTCCATATGTCTTCATATTGATGATGCTGAGGTTTTGTCCTCACAGTGCACGAAATCTGGGAGTAATTCTTGATTCCACCATGTCCATGGACGCCCATATTGTTTCTGTCAGCAATGCTTGCTACTACAGCATTTTCAGCATCAGCAGAGTACCCCACTATCTTGACATTCAAACCTGCAAAACGTTGATGCACTCCCTAGTAACTTCAAAACTTGACTATTGCAACTCACTGTACGCCAACATGTCATCCAGATCAATTCAGAAACTTCAAAGAATTCAGAACTCATCAGCCCGATGTATCTCCCGTTTTTCCCTCTATGAACATATCTCTCCTGTGCTTCAGTCACTTCACTGGCTTCCCATCTCTGCAAGAATCACCTTCAAACTCCTCACCCTCATTCACGACTGTTTCTACAATAAAAACTTTCCATCCTATCTCAAAGAACTTATCTCCCCTTACTTACCTCAGCGGAATCTCAGATCTTCCAGTGACTCTCTCTTGACTCAACCAAAATCACTAAATGGACTTTTCGAAACGCGTCTTCTCTTTCGTCAGCCCACAACTCTGGAATTCGCTTCCCCAAAACCTTTAAATCACAGCTTAAGACTCACCTATTTCTATCTGTGTACCAGTAGATAATCATTCTCTGTTTTATGTATATATGTTCAGTTTTATCACTGTATTAGCGCCACTGAGCATCTGTAAAGTGGATATTAGGCGCTTTACAAATGTATTATGTTTTACAGATTAAAGATGAAAATGCAGCAGAGAGGGTTCGGGTGATCCTGGCACAGTCAGGCTGGTAAGGCTCATCATCAGCTCAGGGCCCTCTCCCCCTCTACACGCTGCCCAGACAGTGAATGGGACTTCTCCCAGGAAACACTGCCTAGTCGAACCCACCAAGAACTTTCTGGAGAATATGAAGGCTCCCCAACATTGCAGCCTTCTGCATTAAACAGAGTGTCAGAAGGGCTGTGCTCTCGGTGGAGAACCCGGGCACTCTTCTGATCTGCGCCAAGAGATCAGGAGGTACCAAACCAAGGGCACCGAGAAATATGGGGAGCCTGACGACAGTGTACTTGGGATGCAAGCAAGACATTTCAAAGGCGAGGTCCGCATATTTATCATGCTTTTCCTGAATCTTGTCAATCACATTGCTGTCAAAAAAGGGACAGAAAATTCAATGATATTAATAAATTCATTGGCTTTATCAAAAAGGACAAGATCAGGTTTGTTGGCAGGAATTCTTCTGAGGCTGTATATGGGCCTGTTCCACAGAAGTTTGAAAGCATCATTTTCCATGACGCCCTGGACATGTTCAGGGTCATACCATGGATGGACCTCAGAGTCAAAGCCGAAGGCATGGCGAAGACAGTAGTAAAAGCAACAAGCCATGCCATCATGTCTCTTAAGATATGCTGTTTGTGCCAAGGAAGGGCATCCACTAACAATGTGTTGGACAGTCTCTGTAAATTCATTACACAGTCGACATTTCATATTGATATTTTGTTTAAGAATCACATTTTGGTGATTACTAGTGGGAAGTGACTGGTCCTGAGCAGCAAAATGGAAGCCCTCAGTTTCACATTTGAGACCAGCCGACTTCATCCAGGCGAAGGAGTCAGTGGGATTGCTATTCTGTTCCACACACTGCATATACACATGATGCAATGGTTTCTCAGAAAGCCTCTCGACAAAGGACCGACTCTGGGCAGACTTGGTGTAGGACTTCACCTGGTTTACTCCCATCGCTGTACCGTCCAGCAGTACATCGCCATCAGCAAAATCAACCTCAAATTTCAGATTGTGTCCAACAACCTTGGCACGCTTAAAATAGCTGTGGAATTCTTTGCTTTCATCATGAGTCTTGACATGCATCACCAGAGGATCATCCGATATAAATAAATATGTGCAAAAGTACACAAAAGAATTATATCATGAAGATTAATCAAACCCCGAACCTCCAGAACTGATTGGCATATATAAACGGTTAAGAGAGGAACGAGGGTGGTGGGCTCTCTTATCAGACATGATCCTTCTGGTCAGGCGGTCAAGACTCTGGATGTCTTGTTTTTTCCAATCAACTACTCCAAAGGAATAGGAGAGGACTGGCACAGCAAAAGTATTGGTGGCCTTGACCTTGTTTCGAGCATTTAGCTCGGAGCTCCAGATTTTCTTTAAGTGAGATTTGTACTCGGCCCGAAGTTTGTCTATTATTAAATCAACGCGGTCATCAAGGATCTCTGTCCTGCCGACGTGACGCTTGGGGAATACCTGACGAGCAAGTACGTGTTGTGGCTGGACATGCGATCCACAGACGACAATCGACTCCACGGCAGCGGGCGACACATCAAAAACGGGAGTGAGGGCATCACAATTCAAATTACCAAGAAGGCTCAAGATGTCGGTAAATTAAACCTATATTTGTATGTAATTATGGATGTGCAACTCAATATACATAATATAAAAACTCAATATACAAGACGGAAGATTTGTGCAAGCCATCTATTGAACTACCCCTGGAGCCGCATTGCCCATAATATGCGGTCAGACAGGTTGCGGGAAGACAGATTTCGTGCTGGATATGTTGGAAGGTTATTACAGGGATGTTTTCGATCATATTGTCATTCTTGCCCTACTTTACTCGGCAATAAATGTATACGGAGAGAGCGTGGGTGATGAACGACCCCAACGTACATAAAATCGATCCGTGCTTTTCACAATCAAGTTCAAGGGAGAGTCCACGCTGTTTATCCTAGATGATTGCAGCGCGAATAAAGAAATCGTTAAAAAGAGAGAGATGCTATCGTATTTAGCCTTCTCGGGTCGTCATATGAAACACAGCGTTTGGGTCCTCACGCAAAAATTCAACTCGGTACTGAAAGACCTCAGGGAACAGACATATTGTTTTTATGAGAAAACAATGTAATTCCCAACAAAACCGAGCGAGAATGAGTGAGCCAAAATGAAACACGCAAAAATATATGTTGATGTTTACGGTGTTGGAGTTAAATGTAGCTATCGTTTGTGTAAAGCCCACAGAGTTGATGCCCTCAGCTTAAGCTTATGTAATAAGAAGCAAGAATGGACTATTTGGCAAAAATGTATACCAAAATTTAAGTAAACAATACTGTCAGTTTCATGTTTGTAATCGACAAAACTTCCCCGGGGAAAGTTTAGACTGGGCTAAAAATGGCCTGCTTACACCGGGTCTCTCTTGGGACGCATTGTTGGAAAAGACTGGTGTCCAGTTGAAACTGTTGACAGATTACGATATGCACCTGTTTATCGAGAAAGGCCTGAGAGGTGGAATTTTGATGGCTGCTAAGCAATACGCTAAAGCCAACAATAAATACATAGGAGGCTAAACCACCCTCACATATACTCTATTCGCGACGCTAATAACCTACACAGCTGGGCTATGAGTCAGTCTTTACCCACTGGAGGATTTGAATGTGCCCAGACCGCGATTGTCGAATACGTAGGATTAAGACCTGAAATGTATTCCATAAAAAAGCTGACCGCGGTGAGATAAGAAAGGCTAAGGGTGTGAAGAATTATGTTGTGAAAAAGCAAATCAAACACGAACAATTCAAAGAGGCCTTGTTCAATAGACGAATGTTCTAAACACGAAATGAATACTCTGAGAAGTGACAAGCATAGGATATACGGTTTGAGAATGAACAAAACATCGTTGTCACCGATGGATACAAAAAGATGGATTGCCAACGACGGCGTCACTACTTACGCGTATGGACACAGTTGTATTAAAGGGAAATAGAATAGAATAGATAATGGATAAAATTTACTACAGCCCACGAGGATATTGGAAAGGCAAGGGCACTATCCGTAAGCTTGCCGAAGCTGTGAAGGTCTCTTAAGAGGTCGCTAAGGATTGGTTGAAGAAACAAGCACTATGGCAAATCTACTTGCCGGCTCCACGATATATACCGAGGAAAAAGTTTGAAATTTCAACGCCCAATCGAGTACATCAAGCTGACTTCTTGTTCTCCCACACAATAGGGTGAGACATAAAACGTACAAGTATGCCTTGACCGTCATGGATGTCGCCAGTTGATACAAAGAGGCCGAGCCGTTAACGGCGAAAGATTCAACTCAAGTCGCCAAGGCACTAGAGCGTATCTATAAACGCAGTCCTTTGACTTGGCCTACCGAATTGCAAGTTGACCCAGGACACAAGTTCATGGGTTCCGTGTCACACCTGCTGGCAAAACACAAGGTCATTGTCAGGCGCGGAATAGCAGGGGCCCATTGTAGTCAATCCATTGTTGAGAGATTTAATCGCACATTAGCTGAACGCTTATTCAGATATCAGTACACGCATGAAATGATGTTATTACCTAGGATACACAGGTGATTATTTTTGTGATAATCGCACATGTGCTTTTGGTGATTCTCAACGTTGATTGGTCAACTAAGCAGAGAAGAAATATGATTGGTTGACGGAACTACTTTTCATGATCAAAGTTCATTGACAACTTTTACCGTTTCATTGATAATTAGAATGTGCTGTACTCACACATTCCAAGATTAAAAACAGAAAACATAAAGGTTAAAGAATATGAATGCTCTTATTAGACATTATTATTTTGCAATAAAATTGCGTTATAAATAGTAGTCTTTTTAAAATAAATAACCTTAAAAACCAAAAACCAATCGTTTGCATTGTTGTAAACAAACATGGTGGCCATTTGGCTAACCCCGATCAAGGCCCGAAAACGTCTCATCAGACCCTCTCTGACAATGGTGTACCAGTACATCAAATCATGCAAATTTCCGGGCACAAAAATGTTCAATCAATAAACAGTTACTCTTCAATTAATGAGAAACATCAGTCCATCAATAAATTGTCAAACCGTGAGCGTGAGGTATTTATACCAACCCGGTGAACTCGAGGGAGGAAGTCAACGACGTACCATCGACTCTGTGTGGTCAATCAAAACGTACCACATCGACCGAGTGGATATCAAAGAAGACGAGCCCTATTTGTATTATCTGAAAGACGGACCTGGTTGGGGATTCGTGTGAGAGGAATTGCTCATCGTACCCCATGACATGGTATTACCTCCCTCACTATTAGATATAAAATAGTAAATAAGAAATCCCGACTTTGATGAAATTATAACAGATTCCATCCATAACAAAATTGCTAACCAATACAATTACCGAGGGGAAAAAAAATATAGATGTATCATTAGTGGTATACAATACTACTCATGATACACCTATATTTTTATTTAATTTTTCCCCCTATACTACAGGCAGAGGATTCGTACCTGACTACACGGTGTTATCCGATGGGGTTTAAATAATTGGTAAGACTATTAAAATGGTTGGAAACCAAGTGATGGGGTTTCCATCTTTATCATTGAAAGTTCTGGCTGGTCCCACTCAAACTTTTACCCGAAGTTGTAATCATCCCTGTCTCTCATTAGGCCTAAAAAAACAAAATGTTGTGGTTCCGATTACCTGACCAACCCTTGAATTTTGATGCCAACCCTATTTTTTTAAGAGGTATGAATAAAATAAGCTTACAGATACCACTGTTTTTCCCCAGCACTGACGACATCAGTCATTCTTGTAGAGAAAGTCGACATGATGGCCGCAAGCTTGATTGAATAAACAATTACACATTGACAAATGTGTTATTACTTTGCACTTTACTTCTAAAGAAATGTCAACAACAAAAAATCCTACCTACCTACCCTAAATTTTAAAGAGGTGTAATCAGAACCACAACATTTTTTTATATTTGGCCTTATCCAGCTAATTTTTTGTAGTTTTGGGTCATGAATGTTTCTGCATACTGAGAATTCTCTTCCAACTCGAGCTCCAGTCTTTTGTTTGCCCAAATAATATTCCATCTTTGAGTCCTTTGCCCTTCCTGCTTACTCCAACCTATAATGGTTATCGTTTTTCCTGCTATGACTGATATATTTTCAGCACTATCTCGAACCACTCTAGGGCCAATGCAGAGTATTCTGTTTTCTCTTGTTGATTCATTTTTCATTATACCTCTATTAAAATCATCTTTCTAAATGGAAAATTTAAGTGCGGATTCATAATTAAAATATCTCTTTCATCCCGGGACATCATGTGTTGTCCCCTCAACAACTGCCATTTGTAAGGGGCCGCTGGAAGCTTAATTAGCCATAAATAACGCTATAAACGGACCTGATGCAGAATTGTCCATTGTGTATACAGTGTACTACTATTGCTACGGTATGATTTGTTTTATTAAGTAACAGATTAATGCAAGATAAGAGGGTATATAATAAATATAGAACGTCATACCAGTGCATTTGGATGTTTTGTATTGAACGAGAAGATGTCATGGGAGCAGAGAAACAACTCGAATGACAAAAATTGTGACACTGTGAACTTGATGAAGGTATTCAGGACCCAGAACTGTGTTCAACTTATGAAACAGCCAACTTACAGGAGTGGACTTATTCTGGAATGGATAATCATTAAAGACTCTGAAAACTGCATTACCAGTGTTGATGTAGCAGATTCCGGAAGCCACATGGCAATTCACCCTGGAGATACAGGAATCCATAGCTGAAAGACGGATTGCAGAATAATTTAGTCAAATTTCTCAGAAATGTGGATTTTAAGGATGCTTGAGTAATTTTTTTGAGTAAAAGCAAGCACCCCAAATGTTATGGGGTAGTTTTTCGTGCTGAATATGAATCTGTTGTTTGCTAAGCTCACACTGCACGTTTTGAATAAAAAGGTACAAGCAGTGCATCAACTTACAAAATCCTCTGGCACAAGGAATCCTAAAACCAAATATGTGATAGCAAAGTCTTTTAGTACACCCTCGATCCTTCAGTCATGGCACATGGGTTGTATGCATTTATTTTCAATTTCACCTTCATCTTCATATTATCTATTTGACACATTATCAGATGGAGTTCCTACCTGTTCCTGTGATTCCCTGAACTGTTATGTGGGTAATTATATTAATCAAACTCACTGCATAAATGAAAGCAATTTCATTTTGACATGTGTATGAAGCAGTATAAAAGCATTTGTGTGGAATACATGTAAAAATGCCTATCGCATCATGTTGCACTCATTGACCTTTGAACTCAATGACTGCAACTTGGAAGTAATTATGCACTTTATATGCAATTGTTTTTATCTAAACAGTTTGTCTGGAATACAATTCTGTCAACAAAAGGAAAAGATTCAGCCTTGCTTTGTATTTTTGAGCAAAAAAGGCTCTAAAATGTAGCTCTTCACACAAAACTAAAAGTTGCTCTGTAAGGGAGATATTTGCAAAAATACGAAACTTTTCCTTCAGCATTTCCTTGAAATCCAATATTTAGAAATCCTGTGGTAACATTATTATTCAATATATTGTAAAATGAGTTCATTGTATGGATAGAGAATGATAAATAAAATGCTTCTTAAATTTTTTTGAATTTTGCACTCATTGACCTTTGACCCCAGTTTGTGACCTAATTAGGCATTTTATAGCTTAGCAAACAACAGATTAGTATTCAGCACGAAAAACTACCCCGGAATATGTGATCTGTGTTACATGTCTTACAGACACCTACTACAATACATGTAGTATTAGTTGTCAAAATATCACTGACGATATAGTTTACTTGACTTTGTTTAATGGCGGACATACAGTACACAACAACTGGTGACATCACACTCTAAGAGTAGGGAGGTGACTCTCAGCTGGTTACACAAGTTTTACACCACGTAACATCCCCCTTTCTTTAAAGGAAAGAATAGAAGGGTCATTACTTTGGCTGGATGAGAATTAGATTGGTTGGAATTAGAGTTCATTTGGCTGAAGACCAATATGTGTCACATAGGGATTTATCATTAAATGTAAGATGAAAACTTAAAAAACTATTCAGTGATTTAAACATGTTAAAAGTCAAGTCTTGGACGGAATTTACTGCTTGAACTTAATTATTATTTATGAGTCTATGAGTCAAGTCTGCACGGATGGATTTCACAGCTCTCCCGGATCTGGTGTGGTATGCTGGTGGGTGGTCAGCATCAGGAGGTTGCTGCTTAGGGAGTGTTTCAGGTGTAGACGTTGTCGACGTTGTTCTGCTGGGTTGTTACTGCAGGCAGTGGAGGGTCAGAGACTGGCATCTCGGTGTTGGTAGGTTCTGGACGTCGGGACTTCTTCATGAGACGGAGTGCTTGTTGACTTGTTCATGAGTAAGTTCTACTTTTCAGCTTCCTGGTGCTTGCTTGAGTCTTCCCACTTTGTATTGCATGCGGACTGTATCACCTGTTGTTATGTGTCATCACAAATGTCAATACCAAGTATGAGTCTATCTCTGATGATTGATGGCACACAGTTGTTACAGTAGTTGCACGTTTTGACAAGAGAGCGAATAGGATTCTGAAATGCCTCAAATGATTCCCCTTCTGTTTGCACTCGTTTGTTGAACACATAACGTTCATAGGTTTCATTGATTTCACCTACAGCAAAATCGTCAAATTTCTGGATAATCTCCTTAACAGTTCTCACACCATCAGCAGTATCAAAGTGAAAGCCGTTATATACTTTGAGTGCTTCATCACCAAGGGTATGGAGGAGTAGTACTACCTGATAGTCTCTCTTATATTGTTGAAAGTTGATGAGGATAGAGTAATTGGTCCATTTCTGTTTAAGAATCTTCCAATTTTCTGATATATTCACCTCAATACTCAAGTGTGAAGGGGCCTTGATACCACTTACAGTGCTAGGAGGACGTGCATTTGCTTCCTGTTCAGACATAACTGTTTCTTACACACTGATAACATACAGAATCGTGAGATAGGAGTGCTGTCAGTCATCCTTGAACACTAAGTCATACACACCTGTAGAAGGTCACTTTTCGACTGTCGGATAGTAGCACTTGGTCGCGAGTGCACGGCGTGTGTACTCGTAGACAAACTTGTACAAAGTTAATGTTCAACTGATACACAGCTTACGTGACACAGAGAGTGAGTTCAGAACACGCTGCCACCATGTTACGTGTCTTACTGACACCTACTACAATACATGTAGTATTAGTTGTCAAAATATTACTGACGATATAGTTTACTTGACCTCGTTTAATGGCGGACATACAGTACACAACAACTGGTGACATCACACTCTAAGAGTAGGGGGAGGTGACTCTCAGCTGGTTACACAAGTTGTATACCACGTAACAGTCTGCTTGCTTTTACTCAAAAATGCTTCATTCATTCACATTTCTGAGAAATTTGACTAGTCTAGAAAGGATATGGCAAAAGTCACACCTTGAAGTAGACTGGCAGATCTACTGCTCCCACAGGAATAAGGCCTCATTATCTTTTAATTGCTCAAAGCAAGAGTTCACGAATATGAAGATTCAGGAAAGTATTGCAGACTCCAATGCCCTTTCAAAATTAATGTTCTCACTGATTTGAAAAGAAAGGAACTGTTCTCTTCCCAACATTGCCGCCAAGCATATTGCCACAGCATTTTCAGATTTTTTTTGCAATAAATTGGAGCGGATCAGAGAAACTTTTGCAGATGTCAGCTTTGATGCTGTTGGTGACGAGAATCACATTATGTTACCTGCAGAGGAACCTGTTACTGCGTTCAGACCTTTCACAGAAGATGAACTCTTGAAGTTGATCAAGAAGGCCAAACCTACATCATGTGTCCTTGATCCCATCTGACCAAAGTTCTATTGGACAATGTTGAAATTTTGCTCCCATCTCTTGTGAATATTAGTAAGTAATGCCATAGGAGTAATACCATCACCTTTGAAGGAGGCCATAGTCAAGCCTTTACTCAAAAATCATTCTCTTAGTATCGAAGAACTAAAAAATGTTTTGTCCCGTATCCAATTTGTCATTTGTTTCAAAACTCATTAAGCGAGCAGTTAATGAGACACTCAGAACATCTTAAGACCCAGGGGCAGTGTGGTAGCCTAGTGGTTAAAGTGTTGGCTCGTCATGCCGAAGACCCGGGTTTGAATCCCCACATGGGTACAATGTGTGAAGCCCATTTCTGGTGTTCCCCGCCGTGATGTTGCTGGAATATTGCTAAAAGCAGCGTAAAACCAAACTCAGTCAGTCAGTCTTAAGACCCAACATCTGTATGACTTGTTCCAGTCTGCCTTATAATTGTCCAGGGACCGGTGTCGGTCCGGGTTAGAATGAACTTTCAGTAAACCCATGCTTGTCGTAAGAGGCGACTAACGGGATCTGGTGGTCAGGCTTGCTGTCTTGGTTGACACATGTCATCGGTTCCCAATTGCGCAGATCGATGCTCATGCTGATGATCACTGGATTGTCTGGTCCAGACTTGATTATTTACAGACCGCTGCCACATAAGCTGGAATATTGCTGAGTGCGGCGTAAAACTAAACTCACTTACTAACTATATTGTCAAGGACATCCTCAGAGTCCTGAATGACTTGCGACTAGGCATGGATTTGTATAAAAGTGATTTTGATATCTCTGGAAATGCTTTGATGTGGATCAAGTCCTACATCTCACAATGATCCCAGTGTGTGCTTGTTGATGGCCCCCAGTTGACATGTGGCGTTCCTCAAGGTTCCATCCTTGGTCCGGTGTTGTTTAAGTCATATACAATTTGGTCAAGTGATTGATGCTCACCAGATAAATCGGCATCAATATGCAGATGACTCGCGGGTAATCAGCATCTTTGATCCTGAACCATCCAAGTCAACATCAGCAACAACCAAGACAACACAATGTTGCCAGGACATCAATACATGGATGCTCCAAAACAGACTCAAGACAAAATATAATGTATGCTTGTTGGTTCAAAACTCATCCGGTCTCAAAGTAATTTACACTCTCTCCAGATTGGAAGCGGTCTTATTTTGCTGTCATCATCAGTTAAAGACTTTGGAGTTATCCTTGATCCTGAGCTGGATCTTGAAGGACAAGTCAATCATCTCGTGCAAGTCTGTTCCCTTCAACTGAGTGTGGTAGTTTAGGATATTTTGGGTAAAGTTTTAGTTCTTTTTGGGTTTGGGTTAACCTAACATGGGTTATTAGTGTGTTCTTGGCTATGTTGGTATGCATAGCCAGAACACACCCGTCAGGTCAGTGTGGTCTGCCTGGCATGTGCAGCACATGAACTGCCTGCTTTTAGCCCTATAAAGGGAGTAGCTTCACAGCACTCCTTGTCTTTAGCACACTGGTTCACCAGAGGTTTTTACTTCGGGTGCTTGAGTCCTGGTAATCCAGACCAAGTAGATAGGCTTTTGGGGGGTTATTTTTTTACATTCATTGACTTTTACATAGGAAATTAATGTATACTGGCCACATAAAGAAACTGTGCACACAGAAAATATAAAGATAGGCAGACAGCGTCTTTATGCATAAATAAAGGTGTGAACATAGCAAGTATTTGAGACAATCAAACGCTCATGCAGGTACCAGGCGACGTGACGTCATTGATGGTGGCCAATGGACTTGCAATGTGTTACTGCACTTGCAGCCTGTGCAGCTGCACACAACATGTGAAACTCAGAAATTGATGTCACTGTCGAAAGCTTGATCTTTGGTCATTCAAACATTCACAAATTCACATGAAAAGTCACATGCACATCATGCCAAGATTAACATGTGCTCAACGTCAAGAAGCCATTGGAATGGTTCGAGCAGGCATGAGCCAACAACAGGTGGCAGCACATTTCCAATGCCATCGTAACACGATATCTGCATTGGTCAGGCGTTAGGGAAACAGTAATGAGGTCACCGACCACCCACATTCTGGGCGTCCCTGATTAATGACGCCAAGACAGGACAGATGGATTCGGGTGACTCATATCAGACACAGCTTCCAGACGGCAGTGACCATGTCCCAAACCATTCCCCAGGCCTTCATTTGGAAAATTTGGTAGCCTCTATGCGTCGTCGATGCACTGCTGTGCTTCACGCGCATGATGGTCATACCCGTTATTGACTTTGTGACTTCGACATGTGACCCCCGACTAAACTTTGAACTTCTGACATCATCGTTATGGATATTGTTCATGTTCTTTTGACAAGTTGTTGAGGCCCGATACTTCAGCTTATAAAGTGTCTACATCATGTCGTCTTTTCTGTGTTGTATTCCAAATCTGAAGGAATTTTCTGTGCGCACAGTTTCTTTATGTGGCTAGTATATATATTTTTGGACATAGGCATAGGGTCCGTATTTATCAAACAACTAAGTTTTGACTTATGAAAAAACTTAAGTTTCTTAGAATTGACTTAGCCAAGTTGGTATTCACAAAGGGGCTTAGTCTGAAACTTAGCCAGCAAAAACTCGATTTCGAAGTCGATTTCGCCGAACGCGATCTCGTGGTTGCTTGGGACGATCCCGGTTATTTTTAGCCTACCAGTGGAACTCTTTTTACTGAGAGACAGAAAAACATCATTGCGGAGAAATTCCCAAACAGCGCAGACGATAGGCGAATAGGCATCGAATAGATACCATGGCGGACGAAACAAAGAAGAGGCTGCCTAATTTCTGTTGCTAGCTGAGCTAGTTGCAGCCAACAGAGTGGTGCTTGAGGGCAAGTTTGGGCCTGGCATCACCTTCATGAAGCGACAGGAGGCATGGCAGGTATGTGTTTAAGTTTCGCGGTAGTGAATGTTCTAACAAATTCGCTTCATTTAACGTGGCTGATAAAATTACATTTACATACACATGTCGTGGTCAATTGTTGCTTTTTAGTTTGATACTAATTCTCGTAGGACTTTTGGTACAAATTGCAAAATCCTATACGTCATTTTACTGGCAATTGTGGCATACTAAAATTACAATATCAGGAAAGAAGGAAATATTTTGGAAATGGATACATATCTCTATTTTCAGTTATTGTCTAAATAAGAGCATACATGCACTTGATAATTAGTTCACATGTAAAAGGTCAAGTTTTTATACACTGATTAAATAGGGGCGGTGGGGTAGCCTAGTGGTTCAAGCGTTGGCTCGTCACGCCAAAGCCACGGGTTCGAATCCCCACATGGGTACAATGTGTGAAGCCCGTTTCTGGTGTCCCCCGCCGTGATGTTGCTGGAATATTGCTAAAAGCGGCGTAAAACCAAACTCAGTCAGTCAGTCAGGCACTGATTAAATATCCTTATGTAATTTGATGGGATTTTTCCCCATTTGATTTATTCTGTTTACATTGTAGATGATTACAGACACCCTCAATTCAAGTCTGACCCCCAAGATGATCAGGGATGAGGTGTTAAGAAATGGAAGAACAGCAAACCATTGCCACTGGTAAACATGATTATCGTTACAGTATTATTATTAGTTATCAAAATATAATTATCATAAAAGGTTATATAAATGATGAGATAAATATCAGAAAGTGGAAAAAAGACCTACATTGTAAGTTCTTGTATATACTGAATATTTTCTACCAACATAAACCTATGATTACACAATGCCATTAAGAAAGTGGTCAAATGTAACATATGTTATATTTGGGATTACACTTTCTTAGTAAAGTACAGATTCTAGTAAGGTTGTTGGGTTGAGTTCCATCCAGGACTCAAACCCACGCCCTCAGAGTCAGGCACCTTATTGCCAGCTGAGCGGGTTAGGCGGTTGACTTTGTATGCTGGCGATTAGGTGCCTGACTGAGGGCATGGGGTGGAACCCGGATGGGGCTCAAGCAAATAAAAGTACTAGAATCTGTACTTTACTAAGAAAGTGTAATCCCAAATACAACTTATGTCACAACATAAACCTACTCTATTCCAGTGTTTCAGGGTAAAGTGAGTACTTACCTCTAGTAGTGGTCCGATAAATTGAAATGATCGAAGATTGGTCGCAATGACAAAATGACCAAGCAATCGATCATGTTTTCTCATAATCGAACCCAAACAATTTTGGAACACTTGTTTGCATTAACAATATTTTTCACAAGGCTGGTTTTGTCTGTTACGTTTCATAAGCACTACAAGCTTGTTCCAAGTCATGAATGAATTTATCTTAAGACTCTAGAAAATTTATGTTCCAAACATACTGGTCATCCTTTAAAGATGTGAAATTTGCAAATGCACTTTGTGCAATTTGCAAAAATCCGAAAGAACTACATGTTCTGTCGT